CGGACTGCCAGTGCTGCCCTCGACCTGAGTCGCTGAAGGCACTAAAACAGCCAGGTAGTTCTGTGTGTGTGTGTGAGAGAGACAGAGTGTGTATGCATTTGCATCCACCCTTCACAACTTGATGTCAGAAGCTGACTTTCTTCTGTTTACTTGCTTTGCAGTCAGTGAGCAGCAATACTCTCCTTTATTTTGTGTCATGAATGAGGCAACAATCAGGCTGCACTAGAGACCAGCCAAAAATATATGTATCTATCAGGAGATTTACCCCATCTTTCCTTGCTTAAATGTGTTGTTTTTGTCTCTGCAATTCGGCTTGGTTGGAAAAAAATCTTTTGAGATACTTATGAACCCAGTAAATCCTCAGTGAGCTACACCCTGTGCAGTTAGACAAATACAGACCACTTCATGCTTTAAACTGTAATCAGCTGCCATACATGTACAGCAGCCATACATGTACAGCATCTATCTTGGCAAATGTGATTATATTCATCTTTCTATATTCAACACTCATCACATTTCATTATAGCGGGAATTGTTCTCTGGTATGACGTATCATCCGGTGGTGTGGCATGTTTCCAAAAGGGTATTTTGTAAAGATTAGCTGAGGAGATTGTTTGGTTAAAGAAGTAACCCGTGATTAAAGAAAAGAGTCACATGAGCTCATAACAGTATAGAGGCCTCCACTGAACTGTGCACAGCTTACACGAATAGAAAAATAAATCCAATATAACACAACATACAATAATAACTGTTAAAAATGAAACAATTAAATGCAGTAATTTCACTGAAAAATGCAACTTTATTTATAAATAATGAAGGAATGAAGAATGCTCGTTGGTCATATCAGAGTTTTTTTTTTTTTTATCAACTATGCTTCCATATATGTAACAAACTTACAACCTTTTCCTTCTAAAAAGACCTTCAAGAGTCTTTAAAAATAAAAAAAAAACATAAAAATTATATTATATGAAAACTGAGTTTTACCAAGAATTTGCATTTTATCAAAAGCAAAGGTTTATATCAAATATCAGAATATTTCAAAATTGTGTAATTTAAGTATAAGAAGTTAGCTTTAACACTCCAGACTCTGCATTTTGTAATTAATGTTATGTTTTTCTTATTGACATAAAGTTTTATGTGTGATGTCTGAAAAGTCATCTCAAATATTAAAAAGCTCACATGCATGACTGGAAAGTTTATATGGCATGAACATTCAAAGACAAAGACAACACAATGGCTTAAAAGTATCACAAGAAGCATACACACAATTGTGGAGGTGTGTGATGTCTCATTGTACATCACGACATCGGTGTATATGTAAGGTATCTGAGCATATGCATCGTCATCATCATAATATAATGATAACAAGGATGAATAACTAAAATAAAGCAGGTCACATGGCTCTGAAACAACTGCTCGTCTCAGCTAAACAGTCTATAAATCATGCAGATAAATAAAGAGAGAAAAAGAAGAAAATCAGAGAAACAAAATAAAGGACAGAAAAACGTTTGATGTAGAAATGAACCTGAAACAGTGGATTGCAACCATTAAATCTGAGAGGTTACAAGGTAGGAAAGAGGAAAATGTAAATCCAGGCAGACAAAATTATTATTATTTTTTCTGATCTGAGATCGTTATCTGATCTGAGATCATGACTTTTACCTCATTGTGTATCTCACTCATTGACATATGCAGCATGTAACGGTGGTCAAATGTGATAACTTTTAATAAGTCAGATTAAAAGATTTATACACTGGCATGAATGAGATTTTTTTTAATGCTCTCATTTGGTGGCAAAAGTGTGCAATCCATGTCTGGGGGCATCTTTAAATTGAGGAGTTTAAATTATGATTTGATTTAATATGTGGAAAAAATTATTGAGCAGTATTCAAATAAATACAGGAAATATTTTTGCACACAAATCATTTTAACGTAAAATATGCACGAAATGTATTTCATTCGTTTATTTTAACTTCATTTATTTAAAAATAATTTAAGAAATTTAAAAAAAAAAAAGAGGCAAAAATGAAGTTGTGGCTTTTGAGGGTTCCAGATGTTGCAGAAATTACAGGACGTACAAAATAAAAATGAAAACTATCCGAAAATGAAGGGTTAACTGAGCGCAGAATAAACTTTCGCGCAAACTGTCCGCTGCACAGACTGAACCTGATGGATGCAGTTCGCTTCTGTGGGTGAAGCATAGCGTCCGTATCCCAGCAATCTGTATCCGATCATCTCCAGAAAACTGACCGCACAGGCCCACGTGCACGTGTGCTCGCCTGCATGTGTATATGTAAACAATAACGCAAAAGAAGAAGAAGAAGAAAGCTCGCGCTGCCTCTCCATCAGTCGGGGGGAATAAAGTCTTGGTGTAAATCACTTTTCCGACTGGTGCAGCGCATTAAACAACCGTGCCATGATTCCTTTTCTCTCAGCTCAGCCGCCCCCCTCCCATTTTTTTTCTTTATCATCTCGTTCACCATTTCATTTCTTTCAAATGAGAATTCAGGGACCCCCAAATTCAAGCCCCCGCGTCTTCAAACAACAAAACTGTACGGTTTTACTTTTTCTCCCGTCAAAATGGTATCCCAGATTCAATTTTAGATAGACCAGGATTTAGCCAGTGATGACTTCTTCCTTTTTTATTTTTTTAGACAATATTTAATATGCTGAAATGAGATCAGCTTTTACACAGACACACACACTCACTCACAAAAATGCTTTTTTTTTTTTTTTTTATAAAATGTGAAATCTCGCGTTGAAATAAAAATGAATTCAGCTGTGATAAGCCGATCTGTGTCTTGGCATATTTTCCCCTTCTTCTATCATCATCATCGTCATCATCACCATCAGAGAAGCAACAACAATGACACTACCATCATCATCTTCATCATCATAATCTTCGACCTCTGTTTTACAAAATTAGCACGCCTAAATACAAAACCACATTCTCAAAGCCACTTATCAAAGTCCATTTCCTGCTGATGATTTCAGGGTGACATTAAAACACAATAATGTAAATGACCCATGACTTTTAATTAAAAATGTCCACCTCCTCACCTCCTCATTCAATTATTGTTTCGTCTGTTTTACTTCTTTTTTTATATACTTTATGTTGCTGAGAGAAATAAAATAATTATGAAAAGAAGTCAAAGCGCCTGCTTTACTCGGTGTTTCCCCTCCTCATTGACTTTTATCACCAAATGAAGCATATAAATGACCTGAAAGCGCTGGCTGTCGCGTTAAATTAAATAAAATAAAGAACAATTATCCTCTCCTTTTTCCTCTGATCTCGCGCTGAAAAGGAGTCCTGGAGAGATAAGGCAGATTGAATTCTCTCTGTTGTGCTCCAATAAAAACGTCAAGGGGGGAAGAGAGATTTAAACACACACACACACACACACCCTTTCCCTCTATAATTCCAAATCATAATTTCCCTCCCATTATACCTCTCACATGCCGTTTATCGTTATTTATTTCAGGGCGTTGTAACCGCACTCAATTTCCGTGACTAAGTTGGATAATTACAGGTAGTGAGTGAATCCTGTGATGTAAAACTTAAAAATAAAAGAGACTGCAAACAATACTGTCTTAAATATATTTAAATATATATATATATATATATATACATACATACAGACGGGCCTTTATCCAAGTCCGCAGCTACTCCTGAAAGTAATTATAATTGTCTCATTTCAAAGTTGAATTAGAGCGCTTTAGGGTTTTGATGTAAAACTTCACATTCGGTTCAATGAAGTATCACCCTAATTTACAGTTCCAGATAAGAAGCAAGTCTGTCATAAAAATCTGCCCCCCTCTCCTCCTTTCCCCTGCCCTCCCTCCTCTTCCTCCCCAGGATGGAATTGCACCTTGGGCAATAGTGCAGAATGGTAACTTCTCCCCACATATGTTCCTGGCAGATAAGTAAACAATTTGGATGTGGAATGATTTTTTTAATTATTACTACAGTATTAATATGGGCAAGCTACACACACTCACACATGTTCGCGCGCGCGGTACGTAAATCCATCAGTCTCCATTAAGAAGAATAGAAGAAGAAACCCCTCGCACCCCGCGCTGGGTGTAAGTTTTCTTTCTTTCCTGCTTGTTTTTTTGGGGGTGAGTTGTAAAGCTGTGCTCACTCTCTGCTGTCTTAATGAGAGCCGGGGCCTTTTTCATTCACAGGTCGCTGCAGGTTTAAACACGTGCAGATGACTCGGCGCTGATAGAGGTTTTAACGAAGTTTTTGGCTGCAGCAGAAATCGCACACGCAGAGATTTTTTAAACCGCATCACAGTCGAGTGGTAGGCTGCTGTACAACCAACCAAAAAGTCGCAGATTGGGTGAAAAAAAATGGAGCGAGAGAGAGAGAAAAAAATCAGTATTCTCCATTAGTTAAACCTATAATTAAGCAGCTTCTTGAAGTGATTAAGCAGTCAGACGAGTCGGACGGGCGGAATCCCTCCAGGGAGGCCTCTCCTGAACTGTCAAACATCAAAAACCGGTTCATCCCGGTGTCACAAACACACCTTCATCATGCTGCACCGCCGAACATGCCTGAACCCTGCTTCTGCAACACGAAGCAGAGCAATCATCATAATAAAAAATAAAAAAAAGAAGAAGAAAGAAAGAAAGAAAGAAAAAGAAGCAGTTAAGGAATAAAGCTTTGTGGAATGATCAAAGGGCCGGAAACTGACAGCTTTAACTACCGCACACGGGAGAGGGAATCGATGAGGGAAAAGAGGATTGATTTGATGCTATTGTTCTAATGTGCAGACTATCAACAGTATTGATTAGCTCGGGTGTATTTTTTTTAATCTTTAAAAAGATTAAAGTATTTTCATAATTTATAACTTCAATTTTGTATATTTATTTTAATTTAAATTTTAAAATAATTATTAGTTTGTGATCATTAAACCTTTTATATCTATTTAATCGAACTTTTATTTTGGCGGTTTAAACGCCCCCGCAGCACGTGCACATTATAACGCTATCTCTGTGGTCTCAATAACCTACAAATACAGGAAATTGATCTGGTTGAAGACAGATTGTCTTTATTGAAAATGTCTTTGCTCGGCACTTGAACAAAGAGCAGGAGGTATCAACCTTCTAGATACATTATCCTTTCCATAACATGACAGGTTTTAAATTACCATCTTAGATAGAAAATACACATAGAACTCCTTGAATTCAAATAGAAGTTATCCTTAAAAAACAAAAAACAAACTAAAATGACGCGTGTGACTATATTAGCACTGAACCACAGGTAAAAATGCAAAATGAAACATCTGGATGTAAATGATTTTTTTTTCCTCATTTGTGTCTTCTTAAATAGACCGTATAGTTTTATGTGCCAGTTTTCTTTTTTCTTTCCTCTTTTTTTGTGATAAATATAACAATATAACCCGTATGTAATCCAGCCTACATGTCCTGATTTTGACCCTATGTCCAGAACATCGTCATAAAATTGCCAAAATGTGGACTCCTTAGGCTGATACAGGAAATATGAACGCTAATTGTGCAAGCCAATTTTTCAAAATAAAAGTGAAGCCTATCAATAATCAACACAAATCAGCATATCAGCATTGAAATGTACACAATAAATAAAGTTAAAGGCCTCCTTTTCTGGTTGCCATAAACGTTATAACATTTACATTTCTTACAGTTCACAGGGCTCCGTCCTTTACACCAAACTCCAGCTCCTTTGCTCAGGCAGGAACTTGGTGGATTTCTGCAAAAGTTTGTTTTTTCCTCTTTTTTGTGCCATAACAAGTCCAAGGCAGTTAACACTGTTCATGCCTTTTTAATAGGGCGCGCTGTCCATAATATATTTACATGCATTTCAGTATTCAAGTGAATTAAAAAGAGCAAATGAGTCTTGAGGGTTACATGGCAGTGGCATGTGCGGATGAATATGGGTCTATCCCAGTCTTGGTCATACCTGGAAAAAGTATGTAGGCCACCGGGGGCTGTAAACTTGACGCTGACCAGGCTGTGCAGTTACACGGGACGACATAGCCCGGGTTTGTGGGCGACGGGTGGGTGTGGGTGTGCTGACTGGGGCACCCAAGGGTGCCGAACGCGCCGTTTTGGTATCCCAGTGAGGATGCGTACGGCAAAGTGCTGGTGCTCAACGTGTGGGGCATCTCGGTCATCTTCTGGATGGCGCTGGAGCTGAACTGACTCGGGTCGAGGAAGGAGTATGGGGCGGATGTCGGCGGCAGAAACGCTCTGGCTTTCTCTGAAGAGCCCAAAAGAGAGTCCGCGGCCGACACGGGAAGTCCCTTCAAATGATCGGTGTCCCCGAGGTAAGGCAGCGGAAAAACGTACCGGTCCTTCTTGAGCAGGTTTTTGGGTTTGCGCCTGGGTCTGTACTTGTAGTCGGGGTGCTCCTTCATGTGCTGAGCCCGCAGCCTCTTGGCCTCATCGATGTAAGGTCTCTTCTCAGACTCTGACAGCAGCTTCCACTCAGCGCCCAGTCTTTTGCTGATCTCCGAGTTGTGCATTTTGGGATTATCCTGTGCCATTTTCCTCCTCTGGCCCCGGGACCAAACCATGAACGCGTTCATGGGTCTCTTGATATGATCAGCAGGCTTTGACATCTTAAGACTATACTTTTATCCCCAATTTTAATGACGAGGAAAAGTTCTGATCGGAAAGAAGGCAAACTATTCACCTGTCTAGATGCCCGATACCAGTCATGCCCCGCCTGGGATCTTCAGATTCTGGAAAACAAAAGCAAAAGAAAAGAAAAGAAAAATCCAGCGCCCGGTGCGTTTTCCCCGAGTTTAAACACTGCTGCGCCTTCGTTTAAGTCCAGTAACAACTCTGTCAGACCTGCGCCAGGCAATACGGGAAAAAACACATGCGAGACGCACACACGTAAAAAAAAATCCACAAAGGTGAAAGCGATGTTCCGCAGTCAGTTTGCTGGAGTCGTAAAAGTATTAGGTGTTTTTTTTCTGCCACACACGCGCGCGCTCTCTCTCTCTGAGGTTTGTCGTCAAGCACCTGGCTTGGAAATGAGCGGAAGAGCGTGAATACGAGCCAAAAGCGGTGAAGTTCAAAGGCTGGGCTGGTTTGGTTTCTGCACGCAATCTGACATAATCTGCAGGGCGTTCACTCACCAACCTGAGCGCCCAATCAGCACGGAGAGCGGCTATTATAATACCTTCACGAAAAAATATGTACATTACAACATAAACAAAGAGCGGGAGGTAGTAGTAGAAAAAAAAGAAGAAGAAAAATAAGGAAAGGGGTGTATGTGTGTGTGGTGTGTGTGGAGGGGGGTAATACCCAGGATCCCTTCCCGATTCCATTTAATGTAATGAATCGCAACAAACATGGACCTTCAACCTCTTTTCCAGTTAAAACCTGACTTCAATCCAGAGAGGTGACTATACCGTGCAACCAATTTACTGTACAGCTTTACGCACAGACGCCGGGGAGCACTCTGGACGTAAAGCCCCCCAAAAATGCACACGTATATGTGGGCCTTTAATACAGCGGAACCCGGTTTTATTCGCATTACCACATAATAAAAATAAATAAATAACATTAACATAGTAATTATAATAATAAAAGCACGACAGTTCATTTGCAACCGAGAGGTCTTCCACTCTTGCTCAATGACACTTCAGCCGGTTTTAACCTCTGTTATCCCGCTGCCGGTGGGGTAGCTGGGGGGTGTGGACGGGGTCACAAAAACCTCTTACAAGTCCATTTTTTGTTAGCATTCCCTTAAACCACCTAACTCCCACGAGCACGCACATATGATAATACACACGGGCGCGCACACGGTTTGGGCCCACGCGTGCCAATGTGTAAAACTAAAACTAGGCATCGGCAGAATTACAAACAGCGAGGAAATATTACATATAGCAATAACTACAGACGTTAAGAGGAGCCGTCATTGTGCGTCTGTAATTGCTGCATTAGTTCACATCGATTTGACAGATTGTTCTTTTTAAAGAGGCGCAGAGTGATCGTTTTAAAATGCAAATGTCAACCAGGACCACTGCCTAATAGCCCTCGGGCTAATGTGCTTGATATATGATACTTTCAGCTGTGATTATTAAACGAAAGGCAGACGGATGATTTTTTTTTCCCCCCTCTACACACACCGTCAAAATGCTGTAAGTGGAGATACAACCCCAGTTAGTTACACTGCTAAGCAGATTTATTTAAGGTTGTCTTTGGCCTCCATCTCTCTCTCTCTCTCTCTCTCATTCTCTCTCTGTACATGTGTGTATTTTGCGGGCTGCGTATTATCATCTCATCTTCCTCTCTTCTTTGTGTGGCTTAATGTAAACAGATGCTCTAAAGATGGTTTTCGGTTCTTTAACATGTCATCACATCGCACTCACACGCGTGTTTCTAATACAGAATGACCCGTCTAAAAAACCCGCAGATTTTTGCACACGTCCGCTATACATTGACTATCGTGACCCAAACCTCGTTTTATTTGGAGACCCAAAATAAAGCAAAGCGTAGTTCGCTTTTCTGTCTGATATTCCCACATTTCATCCCCATCTCTGTCTCTTTTTCACGCTCTCTCTACGCTCCCTGTCTCCTCGCACACGCATGCGTCAATCGGCAGCTTGGAACAAGAAGATTTCCATCACATCTGTCTTTACAAAAAAAAAACAAACAACAACTTGAAAATATCGTCTAAAATATGATCGTTTTGGGAGAAAGATCCTCCTCACCCCGACCCAGAGAACAATCAGTTGAGAACGTCTCCGACTTTTTTTTCCTTCCCCCTCCCAGTACATCCGCGATGGCAGGATGGCAGGAAAAAAAGGGGGAAAGAGGGAGAAAAAAAGAGAAAGAAACAGCTCCTACACAATCCTCCCAATCGGCAGGCTATATGACGCTCATCTGCAACCGCGAGGTAGTATGCCGCATGTTTGCACTGTATATTTCGGCTTGCATTGAAGTTTTAAATTGTGCTATGCTATCTATCGCAGAACAGCGCATGCAATTTAACATGTAGGCTGCTGCTGCTGCTGCTGCATGCTCACACCGGCTTCATTTTATGATCAATGAATTAGATAAGAGGAAATTATTTTAGGGGCTGAGCCTCCTATACTCACGAGGGAGAAGTCGGCTATGTTTCTTATTCAAAAACTGATTGTCTAATAAATGCACGCCTGAAAGTTCCCTCGACAATTTACCGGGATAATGAGAAATGCAATAGGGTTTGATTCGTCAAGGACTCAGATGATGATTATTATTTCCATCTTTAGTTTTATTACATGCAGCCGCGGTACATTTTTGCTCTGAGATAATAATAAAAAAATGCAATAAAGAAATTTGGGGGTTTGGGTTTAACACCTGAATGTAAAAAGATGTCCAAACCTAAGTTATTTGGAAATGCCAAAAGATCTGATAACAACATATAAACAGAATTTTAAAAAGTGAAAAAAATGCCTGTAACGGAATAAATTTGGCTTAGAAATGACTCCCAAAATGAAACACACTATCAGTATTGTACACTGAAAATCAGCCTACTGGGAAGTTTAATGTTGGCTTTTATGGAAATAGAACAAAATTTAAATTTTGAGTCTAATAAATTTAAATCACACCCAAACATAGAGGCGCGCGTGAGACAAACACAGCACACATGCGTGCGCACACACATAAACTAGGATTATCTGAGGACACATGTCCATCCATCTCGCCTTAAAAAGTGAATGGGGAGCGGCCTGACACACGGAGAGCCTATTAGCCAACTTGGGTTCCCGTGGAGAGCATTGAGGTAAGCTCCCCTACCGTAACTGTCCATGGTGCTGAAGCGGTAAGAGGTTTTCTTTACTGCACACTTGCGTCCTCCCCTCAAAAACTCTTAAAAGCTAGGGTTGACATTTCAATGCCTTTTATTGTATTTCCATCCTATTTAGTGATGGTTCTCTGTAAAAATAAAATATTAGAAACCGAGACAACTCATATGGTCTACAACTTTCCTAACTTTTTTCCTTCTTCCCAGCAGAATGTTTTTAAGCCTATTTTTTTTTCCACAGTGTGGAAGAACTACTGCTGAACCATATTTGGAACTAATAAATTGTGGCAACAGAAATTATCTTAGGCACACAAACATTTTTATGTTGTCAGAATATGTCTGCGTGTCCTGTACTGTAGCATCAGTGCAGGATTAAGTCTAACTCGGCCAGTGCATGTTGGATACAGCATGTATTATAGCATCATCTGTTATGTTATTATATTGAATCATTGCTCTCAAGATGAATGGCTCATAGGTGGTGACGATCTGCTAATATTAAAGTAGAACCATACAGTACACAGTACCAGCAATTAGACAATGCCATTTACAGTTTTGCTTCAATACTTATTCAGTAGTTTGCACAGATAATAGTGAGCTCTCCTTGAAAGTTGTTCTTTCGCTTTAATTTTGCAGAACCTTATATGCACACATCTCTATGAAATGTTCAGTCTGAATGTAAAAGCATTTAACAGTTAAAGCACAAAGTAGAATGTCTTTTTAACCATGTATAGAGAAAAATGTTCTATCAGCTTCATTTATAGCCTCATATATTGAAAACTGAGTGTTCATGGTCAAGTTGTTTATCCCCAGCAATGGCACAAAAAATGTATATTCAGACTTTGGCTGTTGATAATTATATGTGTAATGTTAAAGACACAAAACGGGCTTTCTTTCACTCATATAGAAGCAATTCTAAAACTCAAATTCTGCATACAATAGGGCAGATCTTTTTACATTATCCCTTTACAAGTACCATTCACTAACACTGAGAAGCAATCAAAACAGCAATGAGCCGCATTTGAGATGTACTGCCAACATGCAGACTATATTACTAAGCTCAATATATATCTTTGTGGTGAAATTATTTCTCAGGAAGATAGAGAAATCAGACTTAAATAAAATTTGAAAATGACTGAACTTAAGCTGCTCTCGCTTTTATTCTCCAACACTGGATAATGCAGAACGGAGCTGAAAAAAAATTAACGGAGGTTCAAGGCATCAGGTAATAATGAAAGGATAGGGCCAATACTTCAAAGACCAAGAGGTCCACATCACACAATTATACAATACAATTAGGATTAAAGGGGCAAAACAGAGATAACAGGAGATAGGGATAAATTATCACAAAAGGAAAGATGTGACTCTCTCCTGACCTTCATTAAGAGAAAAAAAACTCATTTAGAGCTGGCCTTCCTTGCAGGGGGATTTCAGCCTTTCACATGAGACTGTGACTCAGTAGATAAGATTTAACCAGCATAAATGAGAATCTGAACTGCTACACAACAATAATATAAGATGCATATTCAGAAAAAAATTCAATAAGTAGCGATGCATATGTATATACGATTTAAACACCAAATACATCCATTTCAAAGCAGGGTTAACTGGTGTTATGCAAACCTTATTATTTTGACGCTAAACAGTTTATTTAATAATCTAGAATATTTCAATAAGCTGACACGTTGACACTGCTGACTGTTAACGTGGTGTTCCGGGGTTTTCTAAGAGCTTAAACACATCCAGAATACAAGTCTATGCGGAGTTCAGGTAAAACCAAAAGACGCTCAACCTTAGACACCTTCGTCACTCAGATCAAGTTAACTGATGAGTATGTTTACTGGGTATGCCAGACCTATCAGGTAACTCTGAAATGGTCACATGATGCCTGGGGGTACTAAAAAACATATCCAGAGTATCTAACCAAAAGAGCTTTGTTTGGGAAGCTGCCATGTTGCAAGATGCCATAGTTATTCATTATGTCTTCAGTAGTATCACAGAACCTCTGACGCACAACGCTCATATTATTCTTCAGAATTTCTATCCAGGTCCAGATGTTTTTCTTGTCATTTCAAAACAATAGAGGATAGAAATAAAATAGAAACTGTTAACTACTGACCTGGTTGAAGGTACTAAAGTTATAAGGACTGATGATAAGAACCTAGCCTTCAGACAAAGACCCAAATAAATCAGTTTATGGTAGCCTGTTGACCAACTCAACAATGTTCAAGAATTAAAGAACTGATCTGAGTTCTCACTTGTTAAACAACTCTACAAGGCCCTAGAGTCAAAGCTTTAGTCTTTCA